CTCAGATCAACCAAACTATGCAACATCCTTTCTCATCTGTATCACATCCAATATTTAAGCCAATCACTAGCCAAATCAAATTCGGGGAAAATGAGATTTTAAAATCTATAGCTAATAGATTAGATAAGCTTGATAAGGGAAAAAATATTAATTTTATAGATGAAAACGATAATGAATCTATACAAATTTCTACACAATCAGAAAGTGATATTCAAGAGATCAATAGAATAAAAAATAAAATGAGATCTAATAAACCTTATTATCCAAGACATACTGCACCAGATTTATTATTTGAAGAACACCATAAATATTCTCATCATGCGTATACTGGAAATGGTATATACGAATGGAATATTGATGGACGTTCNGAATATNAAATAATGAATTTATTACAAGAAATGGGTATGGCATCCACAACATTTAAAGCAACCAACGATAAATTAACCGATAGACAAGCATGTGTTATGCTAATAGCAGGATTTACAGGAGCATTAAAATATTGGTGGGATAACTTCCTAGATGCATACACCCAAAGTTCTATAGTCAATCATAAAGAGATAGAAAGAACGCAAGATGAAGATGGTTTTGTTATAGAAAAAGAAAAAGAAAATGCTGTAGAAGTATTAGTTCATACTATAATGATGCATTTTATTGGTAATCCCACTGAAGAATTAGAAAGCAGAAAAATCGTTTTAACGAACTTAAGATGTCCAACATTAGGAGATTTTAAATGGTATAAAGATATTTTTATAGCCAATATATTTCAACAAAATGACTGTAATCAAGCTTTCTGGAAAGAACAGTTTATCGCAGGATTACCAACTTTCTTTGCAGAAAAAGTAATCAACAAATTAAAGGAAATTTCTGGAGGACAACCTGTCTCTTGGGATACTATCACATATGGTCAACTATTTGCATTTGTTAAAAAAGTAGGACTATCTATATGCCAAGAACAAAAAGATAAAAAAAACAAAATGATAAATTCAAATTTAGAATAACCATGGATTCATTTTGTGAACAATATGGTTATGAAAAGTTTAATCCACCATCTAGGATCAAACG